TGAAGAGAGTAGAGAGTCCATTGCTAGTTTCACTCTTGTGAACAGTAACGGTGCCTGTGCCAGCCCTGGGGCTCAGGCACTGTCAGCTTCCTGGGAGTCAGAGGCTGCAGGCTCACTGCTGTCCCCCTGGGCCAAGTGCTCCCTGCCACGGGGGCGGGGACTGGCGCTCTGCCTGTGACTCCGCTAAGCACCTGCGTCTCCGCTGCTGTCCGAGTCACTGTCACTGCACCACAGGCTCATCGTCCTCGTCAGAGTCGGCATCGTCCTCTAGATCGGCATTGCAGCCAGATCATCTGCTTGTCCCAGGAGGCCTGGACCCTCCTGCTTGCCACTGCCACTCTTGTCACTCGCCTCGTTCCTGTCACCCCTCTCCTGTTCACTCTCGCTGCCCGAGCATGCGTCTTCACTGCCACTGCCCTTCTCACCCTCATCTGTCAGGGAGCAGAGAGGTGCGAGTCACAGTTCCCGTCCCGCTCCTGGGGCCCCAGCGCTGGCCTGACCTGCCTGACCTGAGCCCCCAGCCTCGTTCTCTCCTGCCTCCATCTCTCGTCTTTCCCCTCCTCGGGTTCCTGGTTTTCCGCCTGGGCTTTGCATGCCTGCTGGAAGCAGCAGAACTGGAGGGGGCGGGGGAAGGCAAGTGCTGTATTAGGCTCTGTCCTTCCCCTCACCTACCACTCTCCTCTGGCCAGCAGAGCCTTGCTACCTGGGCTTCCAGCTCAGGTAGACACACCCCGTGTTTGAGGACCACAGGCAGGGCCTTGGAGCCTGACTGCACCCCAGCCTTGCAGCACTTCCCGAGGCAGACCCTGGAGTGGGCGTGAGATGGGGGCGTGGAGGAATGTTGCCCTCCTCAGTGAGGACGCAAGTCGGACGAGGTTCCCTTTCCGTGTGTGGCCCAGCGCAGAGCAGAATAAATACGTATTGTAGAAGGGAGATTATCTCAAGGGATTGGGGGAGGGGTGGGGAAGATGGTCAGTTTGTCTTGCCCCATGTCTGTCTGTCTACATATTTGCACACATACACACATATCTTCAGAAGGTAGTGGGAAACAAAAGATTAACTTGGTACAAAAAATTGAAATATGTACATAATTTTTAAAAAGATTTTATTTATTTGAAAGTCAGGGTTACACAGAGGAGAGGCACAGAGAGAGGTCTTCCATCTGGTGGTTCACTCCTCAGATGGCTGTGACGGACAGAGCTGCACCGATCTGAAGCCAGGAGCCAGGAGCTTCTTCTGGGTCTCTCACACAGGTGCAGGGGCCCAAGGACTTGGGCCATCTTCCAGTGCTTTCCCAGGCCATAGCACAGAGCTGGTCGAAAGTGGAGCAGCCGGGTCTTGAACCGGCGCCCATAAGGGATGCCGGTGTGTCAGGCCAGGACATTAACCCGCTGCGCAACAGTGCTGCCCCTGGACATATTTTATAAAATGTTTCCTGTGAGCTTTCTGAATATTCTGCTTATGCATAGATTTTTCATTGCTCCAAAATAAACATTTTAATCCTCCCCCCCAAAAAATAACTTATGCAATTGACAGTTCATTATTTAAGCACCTGTATGTCTGGAAAATTTTGCTTGCATTTGCACTGGTGTGCTAAAATTTGAGCCTGAAGAAATAGTAGTTTGAGTCTTACCAGGACTCCCTCCCCCTGCAGCACTTCTGGCCACCTCACTGCCCTGCCAAGTTCATTACCACCATAAGCCCAGCCTAGTGCACCGAGGTCTCCTGTACTCCCCTTTCCTGGGCAGCCAGAGCATCCTCCCTCCTCCAAGCATCTCCTTTCTATGCCTTTCTACCAGGACCAGTTCTTTGGTCATTTTCTTCATTCGAGGTGACTTTTTATGCCATTCAAAGGCTCTAGCAACCCAGAGTGAAAGAGAGGAAGGGGAGTGATATGGAAAAGCATTTGGGAGTGGCCTGTAGGACTGATTTTGGTTTTGTTAACCATTTAAACAAAGATGGTGTAGTACTCCAGTATCAGGGAATGGACACTGCCCACATAGACCACTGAAGTTGTACATTTTTGGTCTTGTATTGCCCACATAGACCACTGAAGTTGTACATTTTTGGTCTTATATAGATCCTCCACTGTGGGTCATCTGTCCCTTCAACTCCTCCAGGAAAAGCAACGAAAGAAAGGTAGGGTTACGTCAAGCCATTGTTGGTTCACGCTCAGATTTCTGGGAAATTCTTCAAGTTAGAAGCTAATAAAACCCAAGTTTTGACATTTATTTTGAGAGTGTGAACATTAAAAGCTAATTTCTCTATAATTGGCCTTACCTATAATAATTTTTGTAATTAACATAATTGACACTTGAATGACCCAGAATACCTGCCTGTAGTGGTCTCGTTTGTTTCCTTCTGCTGTAGTAATAGGAATACTTTTCCCCCTTCTAGTAATAGAATGGTTTTAGCTGGACACATGGCTGTCAGAATTCTAAACATACTGTCTCCGTGCTGTTGCAGCTGAGATGTGTGTGTGTGTGTGTGTGATTAGATTCTAGCTAAAATGGAGTCTCACTTCTGAAAGTCTCTTTGTTGTGCTCTTCTGTTTTCCATCCTTCTTCCTCCTAGTTAGAATGGGATGTGGTGGTGAAGACCGAGCAACCATGTTGGGCCGTGAGGCAGTGTACTGAGAGAGCAATGGATACAAGGCACCTGGGTCTCCTGATAACGGGACTACTACACCAGCCCTAAATTATTCTGGAGTTTGGTCAAGAAGGAAAGACAAGTGTCTTATCCGAGCCATTTTGGGAATATATTTTTTACAATGTGCAGCCATCCTAATTCTCTCTCGTAAACTTGGTAAAGAGAGTTTTATCCTTATCCTAAGAGCAGTTGGAGGGTTTTAAGTAGGGGATGACATGGTAGGATCTACATTTAAAAATTACCAGTCTGAGCCGTCGCCGTGGCTCACTAAGGTAATCCTCCACCTTGTGGCACTGGCAAACCTGATTCTAGTCCCGGTCACTTCACCGGGTTCTGTCCCAGTTGCCCCTCTTCCAGGCCAGCTCTCTGCTGTGGCCAGGGAGTGCAGTGGAGGATGGCCCAGGTGTTTGGGCCCTGCACCCCATGGGAGACCAGGAAAAGCACCTGGCTCCTGGCTCCTGCCATCGGATCAGCACGGTGCACTGGGCACAGCTCGCTGGCCGCGGTGGCCATTGGAGGATGAACCAACGGCAAAGGAAGACCTTTCTCTCTGTCTCTCTCACTGTCCACTCTGCCTGTCAAAAAAAAAAGAAAATGGGTAGTCCTGTTCTCTAATTACGTGTTCTAATCTCCATTCCCTGTCTTTCTCTGCCCCCTGGTGGATACAGTGCCAAATAGCAAGTTCCACAGAAGCTCACTAGAAAAAAGCCAAGAGGCAGGCTAGGGAGGTGCTCTCTCATCCAGGGACCCCCATAGTCTTTACCTCTAATCTTCATGGTATTCTGTAGGACAAATAAGTGTATTTTCAGCTAAATAGCAAACAAGCGATTCCAAAATATGGAACTAATATACAAAGGGTCTTTATGTCTACCACCATACTGCCCTGAAACGTGGCTACCTTGTTTAAAAACCTCATGAAAAATATGTTTTATGAAACAAAATGAATTTCAATTTTCTTGCACCAAAATAACTTCATCCTTTAATTCAGTTTTCTTCTCACTTTTTGGAGCCGACTCGTATGCATCATTGCACTCCCCAGGGAACCGTCTGTGCCCACTCACTCACTTTTTCCCAAGCACCCAAGAGTCATGGAGCACTCTCCTTCTGTGGTTTGTAGCATAAAAGCAGTAGGTGCCCCCTTAATCATGAGAATGATGACGTAACTGAAGGACTCGTCCCCAGGTGTCCTCCCGGGTTCTGAAGTCACCTGTTCCCCAGGATCTCTGGGGTTCCCCAGGGCCTTACAGGCATCGCTCCAAGGATCTGCTGGGCTTCTGACCCACTGCCTCCACTCCTGTGTTTCCAGCCACTTCCAGCACCCCTGCCTCACCTGACCCTGAAGTCCAGCCTGCCTTCTTTGCTACCCCCAACCTCAAGACATGCTGACACCAGGAGGCTGGTGAGCTTGTGGTGGAGTGAGAACAGCGCATCACAGGCACCGTCTGGCGATGGAAAGATTGGCCATGGCTTCCGTAGCCTGTGACTTGGCATTCCCCCTGGGGAGTTCCCCATGGGCTGGATCCTGCCCTGGCTGTGGCTTCCCCTGTCTGCTCTTCTCCGTGGCCAGCCTCCTGCCCCCACTTTTCTGTTGTCCTAGGATGAGCTTTGCAGATCCCCTCCTCCCAGGGCACTCTCATGACCTGGGCAGCACTGTGTTGACCTGGCAGCACTCTGCGTGACCTTGGCAGCACTGTGTGTGACCTGGGTACCACTGTGTGTGACTTGGGCAGCACTGTGTGACCTTGCAGTGGAGGGAAACCCTGCTTCATGGGAGGCCTCCCACAGGTTGTGAGTGCTGGCTGAGGTTGTGAGTGCTGGCTGAGTTTTGCAGGCTACCTAGACATGACCCAGAAAAGGAAAGGAAGTGTTGTGTTTAACTTCTGAGAGGTAGAAATGAGCCTCATGCGTTTAGGGAACAGGATAAGCAAAGCACAGAGCTTTCAGTGAGACAGGATCTCCAAGGAGAGACAGGAAGTCAGTCATGGAGAGCCTATGTCTCCCATAATTAAGTCTCTGGCTTACACCTTAGGCCACGGCCATTCCCTTCCATTAAATGCCGATGCCGTTTTTAACACAGCCATGCATAAGGGAGCCTAAGGCAGCTGACTTTCCTCTCACACCTGTATTAGCTGGACACTGTTGTCTGCTCTAGAGTTGTTTCAAAATAATAAAGTCCATGGACACAGTTTGTGTGCCTGAGTCTGGTGTTTCGATGGGTGCTGACTGGCAAACTGGGGCACAGATACAGGGACACGGCTCTCAGCTAGAGCTGGCTGCGTTTTTAGGAAAAAAGTATAAAGTCCAACGCCTAGGTACAGAGATAGCAAGAGAGAGAAGTTCAACACAGCGTGTTACAGTATCTAGTAACTCTTTATTTCCACCCAAGACTGTCTGTCCCGCTGGGACTCACTGCCACCCGTGTCTGATGCTGCGCCTGCCTTTCCCCTCGGAGACGGAGGCGTGGACCACGTTCTGCTTACGTCACCAAAGTCTTCCTCGCTACCCGCCAAGCACCGTGCCTCTGACTCTATCAGACCGTATCGATGTTTCAGGACTGGAAAACCACAATATCTGTGACTGCGAAAAATGCATGACTTTAGGTCTGTAACAGGCTTTAAAGCAGAACATACATTCTCTTTCTGCTTCTCCCAATGTTTTTCTGATTAAGATTTTATAATTTTACTCCCATTCATGTTTTCACAGAAACCTGCACTCTGTGCCTAAGTGTCTCTTTTAGAATTTACTTATTTTTAAAATGTTTATTTATTTGAAAGGCAGAGTTGGGGGGGGAGAAAGAGAGAGAAAGAGACAGAGAGACATAGAGAAAGAAAGAGAGAGATTTTCCATTTGTGGGTTTATTCCCCAGATGGCTGGGCTGTCCTGAAGCCAAGAATCAGGAGCTTTTTTTGGGTCTCCCATGAGGGTGCAGGGGCCCAAGTACTTGGTCCGTCTTCAGGCTCATTAGCAGGGAATTGGATTGGAAGTAGAACAGCTGGGACTTGAACCAGAATCCATACAGGATGCCGGGGCTGCAGACGGCAAATTTACCTGCTACACCACAGTGCTGGCCTCCGTGATTCCATTTTCTTTACTGATTAAAAATCACTTGAGGGGGTAAGCATCTGGTGTGGTGGTTAAGAAGCCACTTAGGATACCCTGAACCCACATCTGGGTGTTGGGATTCACATTGTAGCTCTGCTCCTGATTCTAGCTTCCTGGAATGCGCAGCTTGGGAGGCAGCAGGTAATGGCTCAAGTGACTGTGTCCCAGAACCCACATGGGAGATTTGGATGGAGTTCTGAGCTCCTGAGCCTGGGCCTGCCCTGGCTATTGCAGATACTTGGAGAGTGATCCACCCAAGCTTAACTCCACCATGCACAGACTTTTGGGGAACCCCCGTGTCCCCATGCACTCACACAGTCCTAGTGGAGAGCAGGTAAATAGTTCCTGGCATGCAGGTGCATGCTGCAGGGACACATGATGGCACATGAGCATGCGGGGCTGTGTCCCAAGGGCTGGGAACAGAACCCACATAGCCCAAGGTTAGAGGCAGCCCCAGGTGTCTGAGGAGTGGGGCAGCCTGCCCACAGGCCAGGGGGTCCAGGGAGCAGTCTGCAGAGGCAGCTTTAGGTCAGTTCCAGAGGCACATTTTATGTCAGCTCACAGAGTGCACACACAACAGCTAACTTACATTACCCAGAATGCTCTCAATCAGCCAGTGTAAGGAACAGTAAGACAACAGAATGAGAACAAAAGAAAGACAAGTTACTTACTTGTGGACTGCAAAAGATCCGCAGACACTGACGGATCTCATGGGATCTGAGGGTGCCATGGTAAACCTGCATTAGAACTGGGATCCGGATCGACAGGACCAGCCCCATTCATTCATTCCTTCTCTCTCTCTGCCCGCCCCCAGCCCCTTCTCTCACATCTCTGTCCCTTGGACTTCATCTTGGACACAGGCTTTCTTCCCAGGAGAGAGGGCTCCCACCATCCTAGCATTCACAGCCCCCACTGGAAGCCCTCTGGATGGAGAACTCTTCCTGGTACCTCTGTCTCCTAACCGGCAGAGCCCTGGCATGGACGCTACCTGCATTATGAGCTCATCCAGCTCAGGCACTGTGACCAGGGGTGGCCACCCAGGGGGCTGTGCCTGTGTCCCCTGCCTTTCCTGGCCACGGGTGAGGGTGATGTTTCGGGTGTCGTTGCCCCACTAAAGAGACATTGTGTAGACACTTTCTCTGTTGATGAGTAACCTGGCTGTCACTGGTTCTGCATGTCCACCCCATTAGCACATGGTCCCCAGCAGACTTTAGCTGAGTACAAGGGCTCTCATCAGCTTGATAAAACACATCAAAACACATGCAGATTATTTATCACCACACCCAGTGAACCAAGTTTGACAAAAGTCTGTGACAGCTCCCTTAGGACAAGCAAAACTCCTTTACTTCACTGATATCAGATACCTTGGTTCTTGGGGACTGGTGTATGGCACAGCGGGCTAAGACACTGCTTATGATGCCAGCATCCCATAGTTGAAGTGCCAGTTGAAGTGCCTGTTCAAGCCCTGGCTCCAAGCCAGCTCCCTACAAACCAGCGGCATATGGTCCAAGTACCTGGGCACCTGCCACCCCCGTGGTAGACCTGGGTGGAGTTCTAGGCTTTTTAAAAAGATTTATTTTTTTATTTTTTTATTTTTTTATTTTATTTTTTGACAGGCAGAGTGGACAGTGAGAGAGACAGAGAGAAAGGTCTTCCTTTGCCATTGGTTCACCCTCCAATGGCCGCTGTGGCCAGCGCGCTGCGGCTGGCACCCTGCGCTGATCCAATGGCAGGAGCCAGGTACTTATCCTGGTCTCCCAGGGTGCAGGGCCCAAGGACTTGGGCCATCCTCCACTGCACTCCCTGGCCACAGCAGAGAGCTGGCCTGGAAGTGGGGCAACAGGGACAGAATCCAGTGCCCATACCAGGACTAGAACCTGATGTGCCAGTGCCGCTAGGCGGAGGATTAGCTTAGTGAGCCACGGCGCCGACCAAAAACATTTATTTCTTTGAAAGTCAGAGTTACAGAAAGAGAGGGAGGAATACAGACAAACAGACACCACATGCGCACACACACACACACACACACACACACACAAGGTAGAAGGGGAGAGGGAGAGAGAGGGAGAGAGAGAGAGACAGAGATACAAAGAGAGAGGTCTTACATCTGCTGGTTCACTTCTCAAATAGCCACAATGGCAAGGGAAGTGCCAGGTGGAAGCAGGAACCAGGAGCTTTCTGGGTCTACACTGTGGGAGAAGCAGCCTAAGCATCTGGGTCATCTTTCGCAGCTTTCCCAGGCACATTAGCAGGGAGCTGGATTGGAAGTGGAGCAGCCGAGACTCAAGCCAGCACCCATATGGGATGCCAGTACTGCACCGCTGGCTGAACCCATTACACCATAGTGCCAGCCCCGTAGGCTCCTGGCTTTAAACTGACCCTCCCTAGCTGTTGCAGCCATGTACGAAGTGAACCAGAGGATGGAAGATCAATCCCTCTCTGTCTGCGGATCTCTCAAATAAATAAATCTTAAAAGAAACTGTTATGCCCAGATCGCTGAATCCCCAAAAATCACCAGAGACTCGGTCTCACCGAAATGCAAAAGCAAGGTTTATTCTGGAAGTACAAGCTGCGGCAGGGACCTCATCTAACCAACCGATGCAGCGGAGGTCAGAGGAAGGCCCCGAGCTTTGTTCGGGAGCGTTTTTAAAAGACAAAGCTGCAGGGTTACATCAGCAAGGGTTTGGGGTACGGGGCTACAGTGGATTGAACGGTGCCATTCCTGGTAGCTCTTGGTTGGACGAGTCTGATCCTGATTGGCTCAGGCCCAGGGCATTTCCTTATTTGGTAACTGTTGAATATTTGCTTTTACAGGAACTTGGGCCTGCTCCAGAAAATGGAGGCTACTTTTTAAAATGGAGGCGCCTTGGCTCTTCAGAATTTAGGCGCCAGTGCTGTGGCATAGCAGGTAAAGCTGCCACCTGTGACACTGGCAACCCATATCAGGAGGCTGGTTTGAGTCCCGGCTGCTCTGCTTCTGATCCAGCTCCCCGCTAACATGCCTGGGAAGGCAGAGGAAGATGGCCAACTACCTGGGGCATTGCCAACTGAGGGGAGACCTGGATGGAGTTTGGGTGCCTGTCTTCAGACTGGCCTAGTCTAAGCCATGGTAGCCATTTGTGGGGGGGGGGGGGAGACAGGTGAACCAGTGAATGAAAGTTCTCTCTCTCCCCCTCTTCCTGTCTCTCTGTCTCCACCCGTGTGTGTTTGTCTCCCTGATTCTGTAACTCCACCTTTCAAATAAATAGTTTTAAAAATAAAAACAGTCTAATAAGACATTTTCTTAGCAGTTTCCTTTGGGATTTACACCGAATTGTTCTTGGGGCAGTGCCCACAGAGATTCCGCCTCCTCATTTTAGTCCAGCGTGGACAAGATAGGACTTTCCGCAGCATGTTCAGGCTACTGCTGAGCAGAGCTGGGGGACACAGAGTCCTCAGGGCCATCACTTATCTTGGGGGAGATGAATTTTCTAAAACCAGGTGGGTCTGCAAGGCTCCCACCAGCACTGGGGAGGAGTGATGAGAAGGAGAGCTGTGGTGTGTCTCTCGTCCTTGCCGACGCTGCTTTGCAGTCCGGATGGGAACTCTGTTTTTCCTCGAACTGGGTTACTTGAAGGGACTTGGAAAACCTCATGGAAAATGGAAATAAAGGATGAGCTTATTTGTTGCAGTTTTTGAAATTCACGCATAGGAGAGGGGATACAAAACATTCACGGGCAAAGTATGTTAAGGACAAACTAGGCACAGGTTTTCAAAAGTTTTTGCACCTAAATAAATTTTGAATTCTATATCTGGTGATGTTTTGGTAGTATCCTGAGTTTCATCTTTATTTGATCTGCCTTCAAAAACTCCAACCTTATTACAAAGATGAGTTTTTACCTGTGCTTAATGGAAAACAGTTCCCAAAATCTTCATAATTTAATTTTTTTGACTTTTGTAGCAAAACTGTAGTGAGAATTCCTGGGGTGCTGGTTCTTTCCTCTCAGCCCTGAGGAGGTGACCAGCACTGCAGGAAATCATGGAGAAATCGCATTGTGCAGTGTCCCTGGACATCCTGGAGGAGGCGGTCATCTCCCCAGGGAGGGGTTCCTCTCCCAAGAGGGCATGGGCAGTCGGTGCAGAGGGACCATCATGTGTTCCTGGGGCCCATGGCTGTGCTGGGCCTGGGGGCTCCTCAAGAACTGCAGGAGACACAGATCCACTTGCTATGTGGGGGCAGGGGTTACCGGGCTCACTTCCTACCTGAGATGAGTTTGTCGCTTCCTTGGGAGAAACACTGGTCCTGAGGGCTCAGCACGAAGCTGTCCCAAGGAGACAGATCTGAGGCTGTGATGCGGCCATCGTCTCGTCCTAGTTCTGGGCTGTGCAGGTCCTGAGGAGTTGAAGCAGGCAGTTTCTCCTTTTTTTCTAAGATACGTTCTATGTGTGTGAGAGTGAAGAGGGGAAAGAGAGAGTGCTAGTGAGAGAGAGAGAGACAGAGAGAGGAGCTAGGTGGAGGGAGCTAGGGAGCTCTTCCATCCTCTGATACAGCCCATAAATGACCTCCAGGGCTTGGCCAGGCTGAAGCCAGGAGCCAGGAGTTTTGGTTGTTGTTACAGGAGCCCAAAAACCCCAAGTGCCTGGCAGTGCCTCGATTCCTCCCTACCGGGTGGAGGACAGTCTCAGAGGGTGTAGCTTTCTCGGCTGCCTCTGATTGGGCCTTCCATGTTTGGACTGCACAGACCCTACTACCTTCTGGGCTTCCAGGGTTTCTGCCAAGAAATCTGACGATGACTTAGGGGGAAAGGGTGACAAAGCCACCTTCCTCTCAGCTCTGGAGGTGCGAACAGTGTACCTGGAGGTGTCTTGGGCAGCAGAACACTTGTTGAGTTTACCGAAGCCAGAGATGTTGTTCCATCATTCTGAGACCCATCACTCAGAGAGTAAAGACAAAGGAGGGGCTATACTAAGTGGAGACACTAGGAGGACTTCAAAAGACACAACGTATCATCATATTTAAACTAGTAATGTGAAGGCCACCCAAGCAATCTATAGGTTGGAGTTTCTCAAAAATTAAGTATCAAGCCCTATCACCAACCTAGGCCAAAAACTCTTTGGGTATCGTTTTAATTTAATTGGAAGATTCTCGAGAAAACCACTGTGGATGAACCACAGCTCCCATTGGTCAATTTCTTGCTCTGACTTCATAAGGCACCACTGTTATGAAAGTCATATTATTACACAGTCCCTGGCTGGGCTGTGATTGGTCCATTTCTTGCTCTGCTCTCACAAGGCGCCATTATGTGAGGTGAACCCCCAAAAAGTATATATAGCCGCTGCGGGGGCCTAGATTTTTGTCCGCCTTACCCAGAGAGCACTCTTTTGTGATCTGTGTAACTAGGACCCATCTAACCAGCCTTTGCGCTCGTTGGTGTTGCTTGTGCTTTTTCTTGGTTGTTTGTTTCTGGGTCTATTTGGTTTTTGCTTTTTTCCATTTTGTTTAGTTTGTTGTTTTCCTCCTCGTTGTTGTTTTGCCCATTTGGTCTTTTTTTGCAGTTTTCTTTATTTTTGCTTCCCCCACTCTAGTCAGCTAGCACACTCAGAAGTATCAGCGTTCGAGGATTTAGTGGCTTTTCCTCTTTGTTGTTTTGTGCTTTATCGAGATAGGCTTGCGGCATCGCCGCTAGAGTAGTGAGAGTAGCTGGTGCTGTGTCTTAGTCAGCTGGGTAGTCAGTCCCCCGTGGTCCCTTTGTGTTGTAGGCAGTGCAGTGAGGATCGGTGATTAGCTAGTGTGTGTCGAGTGATTTAGGGAGTCGAGAGAGCGTAGTTAGGTGACCGGCATCATGGAAGACCCCTTGGACTTCCATCCTGCTCTGGACGGGTTCCGCTTCGTGGACGTGATCGGCCGGGGCGGCTTTGGCCTGGTGAAGCTGGCCCGGCACCTGGCGTCGGGCAAGTACGTGGCGGTGAAGATCCTTCTGCGAGACTGCTCGCCCAGCAGCCCGCTGTCCGCGCAGGGGGAGGCAGCCATCCTGAGGAGCCTGCGGCACGACAACATCGTGCGGCTGCTGGAGGAGCGGCACACGAGGACGCACCTGTTCCTGGTCATGGAGCTGGCGACCAAGGGCTCGCTCCAGAGCTACGTGTTTGAGCAGGGCGGCCTGGCCGAGGCTGAGGCCAGGACCCTGTTCGGCCAGGCGCTGGCCGCCGTGAGCTACTGCCATGCCCAGCATGTGGTAAGGGCACGCTGGTAAGGGGCTTCTGGGGGACCCCCGAGTACTGCGCACCGGAGGTTTTCCTCGGGGAGGCCTATGACGCTTTTAAGGCTGATGTGTGGAGCCTGGGGGTGGTGCTGTTTGCCATGCTGGCGGCCACGCTGCCCTTCCGCGGCAAGGACACGGAAGAGCTGCAGGACACGGTGCTGTGTGCCTGCTATGTGCTGCCGCGTGCTGTCAGCCCGGCCCTGCGGGAGCTGCTGGCTTGGCTGCTTACTGTCGACGCCTCGGGGAGGCCCAGTGCGGAGGACGCCAGGACCCACTGGTGGTTCAATCCCGGCCAAGAAGCCACCCAGGAGGAGAAGGAGGCCGCTGTCACCCTGCTGCAGCCCCTGGGCGTTCCCCGGGACTCAGAGGCCAAGGAGTACCTGGCGGGCCTCGGCCTGCTGCCAGGCACGGGGACTGAGGGGACGCCAGGCCCTCAGCCCCAGGGCCCTGTGTCCCTGCCCAAGTCCTCACAGGGCGGGGAGCACCTCACCAGAGAGAAGGACCGCTTGTCTCTGGTGTCGGTGTCCTGTGACAGCATGTCCGTCGACATTTCCTCCGGACGAAGCGACTCCTCCGAGGCCTCCAGTGAGTCTTGCCCTCCCCCCTGCCTTGGGGCCTCCAGGAGCTGAGCCCAAGGCCCCAGAGGTGACCCCACTCTTGACTCTCTCCTACCAGGCCAGCCACAGCAGGAGAGGAGCCCTGCTCCCAGCACCGCCCCCAACTCCTCCCAGGCCTCCAGTGAGTCTTGCCCTCCCCCCTGCCTCGGGGCCTCCAGGAGCTGAGCCCAAGGCCCCCGAGGTGACCCCACTCTTGACTCTCTCCACCAGGCCAGCCACAGCAGGAGAGGAGCCCTGCTCCCAGCGCCGCCCCCAACTCCTCCCAGGCCTCCAGTGAGTCTTGCCCTCCCCCCTGCGACTTCGGGGCCTCCAGGAGCTGAGCCCAAGGCCCCCGAGGTGACCCCACTCTTGACTCTCTCCACCAGGCCAGCCACAGCAGGAGAGGAGCCCTGCTCCCAGCGCCGCCCCCAACTCCTCCCAGGCCTCCAGTGAGTCTTACCCTCCCCCCTGCCTCGGGGCCTCCAGGAGCTGAGCCCAAGGCCCCCAAGGTGACCCCACACTTGACTCTCTCCTACCAGGCCAGCCACAGCAAGAGTGGAGCCCTGTTCCCAGCGCCGCCCCTGAGCCAGCCTCCGAAGCGTCACCCTCCAGCCCCAGTGCCGGGAGCCACGTGGACCTTGCAGAGCCAGAAGCTGCTGCCGGCACAGCCCGTGAGCCCAAGGATGCTGACACCACAGACACCAAGGCCAGCGCCCAGGGCAAGAGGCAGGGCTGTCGCGGGGTCGGCAGGAGGATCCTCCGGTTCCTGCTGAGGGCATGCTGCATCCTGCCGTCCCGAGGGAGCAGCCCTGGCAGCTGCTGCAGAGTGGTCCCCAAGTAGCCTCGCCCCGCCCCCGTCTCCAGGAGCTATCCGCTGAGCTGACTGAACTTTTCTTGAGCATTTCCACATGCTTCTCATGAATAAAATTCACCATGTGTGCATGGCTTTGGTCCCGTGTGATGTTTGGTCCCTGTGTGCACCCTGGGCAGGTGATGGAGGTGATGGGTGGGTGGCTCTCACAGAAAGACAAACGCTGGGCCATCTCCCCTGTGTGGGGATCACAGAAGGGCTGACATCATAGAAGTAGAGCATAGAGTGACGGATCCCTGAGCCTGGGCCAGGGGAGGAGGGAGGGAGAGTCACAGCTTCCATAGTGGCACAGGCACATGGGGGTCGGGGTCTGATGAAGAGTTGACGAACCAGGAGAAGAAGAAAATGGATCCGAAGCGCTGATGCCTCCTGGACCCTGGGGGGAAGCTGAGCTTGATGCCCTAGCCTGCCCAGGGCTTTCCGGTGACAAGCCTATGAACTCCTTTTCATTCTGAAACCTGCTTGGGGGGAGCTTGTCTTATTTCCATCCAGCATGCTGAAACTCTTCCTGTCTTCATAGCTGGGAAGTTTCATTTTTCAGGCCTGCAAGCACAGAAGTTTCATTATCCCCCCTTGCCTGGAATTTGGAGCTTCCAACCCAGTCCCCTCCAAGAACCCTGTTTCTTCCTGTTGGTGGGGAAATTACCTGCAGTCCCTAAGGGTCATTACCCTTTCATGGCTGCTGCCCAGGAGCCTGCACAAGCGCATCATGGAAGAGGAAATGGGAATGAGCGGTAAACGATGAAGAGATGACACCTTAAGGGACAGGAAAATCAAAATGCAATGGGGGGGAGGGGCAGCAGTATGGTGTAGCTGGTAAAGCCCCCACCTGTGATGTTAACATCTCATTTGGGTGCCAGTTCCAGACCCGGCTGCTCCACTTCCTACCCAGCTCTCTGCTAATGTTCCTGAGAATGCAGTGGACGACGGCTCAAGTGCACCCACTGGGGAGACCCAGAAGAAGATCCAGGCTTCTTCAAAGAGACATGCATGCACACATGCACAAGAATGTTCAGGACTACCTTGTTGATGATACCAAGACTGAAAACAACTGATGTATGTGTACACAAGAAGTAAAGATTAACTGTGGTATAGTTACTGAATGCATTTTAGAAGGCAATGAAAATTAATGAACTTCAGCTACATATGGATGTGGATACAATGTGAGTAAATCTAAAAATCATAGCTCTGGGGCTGGCACCATGGCTCACTTGGTTAATCCTCTGCCTTGCGGTACCAGCATCCCATATGGGCACCAGGTTCTAGTGCTGGTTGCTCCTCTTCCAGTCCAGCACTCTGCTGTGGCCAGGGAGTGCAGTGGAGGATGGCCCAAGTGCTTGGGCCCCTGCACCAGTGTGGGAGACCAGGAGGAAGCACCTGGCTCCTGGCTTCGGATCGGCTCAGTGCGCCGGCCATAGCGGCCATTTTGGGGGTGAACCAACGGAAGGAAAACCTTTGTCTCTCTCTCTCTCACTGTCTAATTGCCTGTCAATAAAATGAAATAAAAAATATAAAAAGCATAGCTCCACGTAAGAAATAGAACTCCCAATACCTACAAAAGTCATTTAGATACATACGATAATTGGTACATTATCCAGGGTTGTATTGGTAGAACAGCATAGGAGTGATCAACATAAACTCCTAAGAGTGTCTGTTCTTCAGAGGACTAATAGACCAGCATCCCAGTTATGTACGCTAACTCGGTGGTGGTTGTAGGCACGCTCACCCTACTCTACATTATATATGTTTTATACTTGTGTATGCATGTCACATGTTGCATTTTGTAGTGCAAATATTCATACAAAATGTAGCATTTTAACCATTTAAAATTACTTATTTCGTTCATTTGAAAGGGAGGGAGAGAAAGACAGAGATAGCTCTCTCATTCACTTGCTCACCCCCAAATGCCCACAACAGCCAGGGCTGAGCCAGGCAAAGAAGCTAGAGCAGGGAATTCAATCTGGGTCTCCCTGTGGGTGGCAGAGACCAAAGTACTGAAACCATCACCACTGCCTCCCAGAGTGCACAGTACAAGGCAGCTGGGGAACGGCAGGCACTGTGCTGTCAGTTACCCGCTGCTCGCAACACTGGTATCCCATATGGGTGCTGTTTTGAGTCCCCATGGGAGACCCAGAAGGAGTTCTGGGCTCCCAGCTTCTCCTGGGACAGCCCCAGCCTTTGCAGCCATTTGGAGAGTGAGCCAGCAGATGGAAGACCTGTGTGTGTGTGTGTGTGTGTGTCCCTCTCACTCTCTCAAATAAATGAGTTTTCTTTGAACAAGGAAGCTCGTGTTAGGAGCTGCATTACCAGGAAGCTGGAATCAGCCAGGTGGGAACAGAACCCAAGCACACCAAAATGAGATCCAGGCCTCCTAAACGGGCATCTTAAACCTCTTTGCCAAAAGCTCATGGCTAAATGTTTTTTAATTGAACAGTTCTATGGCACTAAGCAGAGTCATGTGGCTGCTCAGCCATCCAGTTTTCATCTCCAGGATCTTTTCATTACCAATTTTGTGAAGCTTTTGCATTATTTTTCTTCTAAGGAGTTTTTTTTTTTTTTAAGATTTATTTATTTATTTGAAAGAGTTACAGAGAGGAGAGGCAGAGAGAGAGAGAGAGAGAGAGAGAGAGAGAGAGAAAGTGAGATCCTCCACCTGCTGGTTTACTCCCCAATTGGCTGCAAGGGCCCGAGGTGCGCTGATCTCAAGTCAGGCACTTCTTCCGGGTCTCCCACACGGGTGCAGGGGCACAAGGACTTAGACCATCTCCTACTGCTTTCCCAGGCCAGAGCAGAGGGCTGGATCGGAGTTGGAGCAGCCGGGACAGGAACCAGTGTCCATATGGGATGCCAGCACTGCACACGATGACCTTACCTGCTACGCCACAGCAGGGTCCTCCTTTCTGAGAGTTTTGTGGTTTGAGCTCTTCCACTTAGATCTTTGATCCATTTTGAGTTCATTTTATATTTACATTCTCATAGATTTATATTTTTACATTCATCTTATTTATATGCGAATTCATCTTTTTGTATTATAACGCCTTTTTAAACAGAAAGAAAAGAATCGCAGACTATTGGCTCCGGTAGGAACCCGCCCCATTACAGAGATCTGGGGAGGGAAGCAGGAGCACACAGGGCTCAGGCAGCTGCTTCTAACGCCCCCGGGGCCTCGTGGCTCAATCCGCTTTCACAGCTCAACTGAAGCTACAGTTGGGGCCTCGGGTTGGGATCCGCCCCTTCCTGCTGCGCGCCCGCCCACGTCTCAGCACTAGCCCCGCCCCCGTCGGAGCCTTGAGAAACAGGCCCCAGTCTAGGGTGGGAGGGAAAACCCGGAAAAGTGGGATTCCTTCTGGTGGCCCGTCAGCGGCAGCTTGAAGGCCTGGCCTCCAGCTCCGTTGCAGTTGTTGATCCGGACCACGTTTTCACTTACGCCCAAGGCCGGACGGGAGCCGCGGGCCCTGGGCGGGGGACCCAGGCCGAGGGGAGGCGGGGCGCGTGCTCGGCCCGGATTGGCCATTCTAAACGGCGCGGGGCTTGGCGGGAGTTTCCTGGGCGCCGCGGGAGCAGAGAGCAGCCAGATGGCTCCGCCGGGCCGGGTGCGGTCCCGGAGGCCTGCAGGGTGAGAGCTGCGGGTCCCGCTCCGACTGACGCGGTTTGAGCCTTTGGGGCTGCGCTGGTGGAGCTTCCTTGTCGAAGTGACAGCTCGCCCAGGGCCTCGGTTTGCATCTCTCAGTGCGGATTTCCTAGGAGGAGTCAGGGCGTGACGCCTGGCCTGGCGGGTGGGAGAGACTTTGGGGTTCCTGTGGCTGAGGGTCGCGGGCGCTTGGTGCCTGCTGTTCCCCAGACGTGACGGGCTGCAGCCCTGCGGGTCGTGTCTGCCTTCGTACCCCAAAGCGCAGACTGTAACGCTGGCCCTCACCCCTGCCCGGGGACCGAGCTGCCCCTTCGGGAGTGTTCCAGGTCGGGGAGCAACTTTTCTCAAAAGGGGCATGCATTGGAAATGCGTCGTATTCGTCGTTCACAGATTCGTGAGTGGACGCCCGGGCTCTCTAGCGTTGTCTACAGGGCATCCAGGCGCCGAAAGGTTTTTAAAAACCTGTTAGAGATGGAGACTTAGGGCATGTGTTGAGCCCTTCCCTCAAAAATGCACAGGAAAACACGGTTGTCTCAAGCGTCCATCTTGAACGAAGCCTCACCTGGACTCCAGCTTAAGGCGTATTTTTTGATTTGAGCACACGCAAGAGACAGCTGGAAGTAATTTAGGTTAAGACGCGTACTGATGTGGTTTCTGCTTCCTGCTAACGTTACTTGACTGTGTGGCCATTGCTGGATTTTTGTGGGAGGCCATGGATTTGAACTGAACGTCAAGCCGGTCACTGGGCTTAGGTGGCTGGGGGAAAGCTCTGTAGCAGTTAACTAACTGGGCTGTATGCAATGAACTGGATAAGGTGTTACCAATTGGTTGATTGGGTAGGCTGCAGCCAATTAAGTTAATGATGTGTGATCGCTCAGGTTGCTGGTGGTTCTCAGAACTTGCTTATGGTTCTGGGGCTGCTCCATTCCCTAATTGTTTCTGGTTTTGCTTTGCCCAAATAAACTCGTCTAAATTTAATTGAACTAAAGCTAAGTCATTTAGCTTTCCTGAACCTCTGAATTATAACCAGAATCATAAAATTGCCATTGAGCAAATACTTGTTGTACCATTTTAGGTTTGGAGACTCAGAAAAAGCGTGGGAACTTGAGAACTGTGAACTCTCCACCCAACCCTTGAGAAACTGGGGGTGGCGCCAGGTGTGAGACCACTGCTCTAAACAGTGTTCCAGCGTTCCAGCTTTCTTTTTTTTTTTTTAACTGTGATTCACACAATGTTTTGCATCGCAGTTAGTACGCAGGTGCGCATGAAACAAATCAGAAAGTTTATGAAAATATCCTATCCAGTGCAATCTTACATTTTATGTTCCCTTGATTTTCCCTTTTAAGAAAATACTAGGGTGAAAATCCTAAAGGGTGTTGGAGAGCCGATGAGATTTGGACATGGACTGTAGGTTGGATGATCACATTGCAAATGTGAAATATCTAGATTTTGGAAATCCGCTATGACTGTGCACGTGCATGCCCTCTCAGGGAAGCC